CAATGAAAATGTCAACGGTCTTGTATTACTGAAAATAATTTGATAAGGGTCGTGATAAAAGAAAGCCATTACACTAAAAAGCAAACCGATCCACCTTCCTCAAAATTGAAAGATATTTCACAAATCACGGGTCATGTGTCATATTTCATGTCTGCATTGTGGCCGGATACGAAAAGAGCGGAATCCAGTCTACCTTACACATATACAGTTGTAATTTCACTGTCAAAAATCTTACAGAAAAACTTGTCCTTCCTAAACCTCTTAACCGTCCTTTAGTCAGTTCTTTAGAATTTCAAAAAAAGAACAAAACACTGGGTTTCAGTCAATCGTAAAACGAAATTTCACGTTGGCTAATTTTTAACAATCCCGCTGATAGCACTGGGAATCTGGGTGACCTCATTAAAACAATCCAGATGTCGTATTTGGCAAGTGCTGGGTGTTATTGGTGAATAATTTTACGCTTCGATATTTCGACGTTTTTAGCGTTTTCTTGGAGCCATTTGGAGCCGAGTTGCCGCCGCCGTTAAAAAGAACTCGAATCCTGGGATTTACCGCAGCTACCTTGCAGCTGAAATTTGCTATGTGGCAAAGAGATCGAGTGGTTGGAGATAAATGATAAAGATGTCGAATGCTTTGAAGTGCACAATTTTGTTAATAGGTATATATTGTAATCTCGTTTTATAGCATAACTCCTTACGTGCTGATTAATTTATTTTGCTTTCCCTGGAATTCTAATCACTGTCTATTTCTTCCCAGCTATTTTGGGACCGCTCAGCTTGGCAGTGGATGTTGTTTACCTTCTCGATTCTTCCCACTCCGTCACACCGCAGCATTACAGCGACCAAAAGACGTTCGTAAAACAGTTGTCCCGCTATTTAAACACAATGCCTGCTCGCACCAGAGGCGCTGTCATAACGTATGGTTCCACGGCGACCGTGATTACAAAGTTCGGCGACACAAGCACAACAGACGAATTCCACAGCGCCATCAACAACGCGCCAAAGGTAGGCGGACCGCGAAGAATGGACCGCGCTATCGACTCAGCGCGAAACGTTTTTGCCGAGGCACGGCCGGCTGTACCTAAGGTTGTTATTCTTTTCACTACTGGAAATCAACCAGGTGGGATTCAGACGGGAGTCCTAGACACGTCTTTCCAAAGGCTTTACGATCTTGGAGCCCGCTTGTATGCAGTAACCATCAGTTCAGAATTTATTATATTGCCTCTGAGGGGCTCTGCTGGATCAGATTGGTTCCCGGTGAGATCTTTCACAAGTCTGCCTGTCTATGTGGTCCCCCTGGCTAGACATGTGTCTTATGATACAGGTATGACGACATTTCGTAATATCTACCAGGTTTATACCAGATATTGAAACCAGAGGTTGGGGCGGGGAGGGAGCTATCTCATCTATAAGTATATAGGTATGAATCCAAAATGTATGGTTTTCGAGACGTTTTGGTCAGCAATATGGTGCAGATTTTGAATATTTTTCACAAATAAGTTATTTTTGTACTTAGGCCTGGAATTGGGTATGCCGTTTAGAAGGAAGCATTTTTGCCCCCTTACCCACATGGAAGCCATACTTGGTTATTAGAGACGAGCACAAATTTTAGAATTCTGAAATAGCGTGTCAATTTTCGGGTTACGTCCATCTAAATTATGGAAAATCACCGCTATTTTGGTCTGAAATAGTGTAAGGGTTTTACAGAAAGCAGGGTGTATGCCTCACCAGAAATTTCGGGAAGTATATTGCCCGGGTGACGAAAGAGGTGTTATGTTTAACCCATGGCTACTCATCGTGATCTTCACCAGGGTTTACCAGCAAAACGTTCACCATTTTTTTTGTGACCTTATTTATTGACCTTCCCTGTTTCTCTCTTTTCATTTGACGGTGTCCCATTAAGCTTTCGTTGATGGTGTGGTTTTTCATGAATTTGAGATATAGGTTTACTGGGTATAGGTTTACTGTGGCCTTGGCGTAAAGTTATTTATTATTTGGGATGACGTTGCGAACTTTCTGGACTTCAAAAGGACATGAACGAAAAAAAGGCAATATAACAAGGTTTTGTTTTTGTTTTTGTCACCTAGATACGAGTGTTTTAAAGGGAAATACACCTCTAGTAAAATTCATACGAAACTAAATCCGGGACTCGAGTGAAGAATTTTCCATATCCTCACCATTGAGAATATTGAAGAAGTACTTTCCCGCTTTTTACGGCTGTTTGTACAAACAGTCAGTTTGTCTAGTTGTCTAAGATATGAATTTTATTTTCGCTCGCACGTGTCAAACCAATATTTTACTCACTCGCTGCACTTGTTAGTGAAACTTTATTTTCACAACCTGAAAAAAAATCATATCTTTGCGCCGCCGTGTAATATCATCTACCGGTATATCTATTTCTCACCCATACAGGTAAAGCCTCTGCAATGCAATATCCAAACCATAGTGAAAAAAGCGAATATGTGGTAGATATCAAAAAAGAACTAAATTCTTTAGCTTGGGAATAAAACTCTAAATATAAATATTTTTGATATGGAAATATTTTTTTCAAACGTCACTAAGTCAACACTGTCTTTCTTGTTCGGAGTTGAATGTACTTACGAAGCAAAATGCTGCTGGATTAGTTTCATAGTAAAGAAAGAAATGAGCATTCATTCTCTTTTCAGGTGAAAATCTTCGTTTGTCACACATGTATAGTTCGCTAAAAGGAAATAGTCTTATAAAGCATGCATCTCCTCCTTCAAAAATGCTTTTGTGACAAAAAGTTAAATAGTACATGTCAAAATAGGGATACAAAATTATAGTAACGCTGACAAACTTTGATGCGTACGTAATTTTGTGCTGTGATTTACCGACAGCTGCTCTCGGTCCTTACGACTTTGTTGCTGACGTGATCTTTATGTTGGACTCCTCGTCACGCGTCACGCCACAAGACTACGTGAAGGAAAAGGAATTAGTCAAGTTAATAGCAAGGTACCTCAATATCGCGCCGGGAAAGTCTCGAGGCTCTGTTATTGTTTTCAGCACTGATGCAAATCCTCTCTTGCCCTTTGATGGCTACTCGAGCATGTCCGAATTTAATACAGTCATTGACAAAGCCCCGCAGCTGAGCGGAAAGAGAAGAATTGACCGTGCATTTGGTGCTGCCGCGACTTTGTTTCAAAACGCTAGACCATCTGTTCGTAAGGTACGTGCCTACATTTATTGCCACCCTATTGGCTAATGACATAACACACCAACCCTTCGATTCCTCTTCCGTTTCTTCACCTTTACCACGAAACGATAACTGATAAGGAATGATTACGAAGTCGTCTGCCCTTAATAGCAAAGAATTAGCAACCCCGTGTTGAGAAATCTGCGTTTTGATAAATAACGTATTCTGTAGATAGATATTAAGAAATGTCAATAGTACATCCCTCAGAGAGGCTCTTATTCCACTGTTTTCAGATCGAATTGGACTTGAGAATTGTTGATTCCGGAAACCTCGAATAGCTCACATAAAATATAAACAACCATGGTCCTGAGTTCCCCTCATCGACCACGCCTTTTAACTGGTCAACTGGACAACTTCTTGTCAGGGATTGGGATTGTTAACCATGTCATGTCTCTTTCAAATAAACAGTTTTTGTCCTTCACTGAATGGCACTGTAGCAACCCTTACAATGAGTCAGTCCAGACAGCGCAAACCATATACCTTTATTGTTCTTCTCTTCAGGTTGCAATACTACTCACTGGTGGAAGACAATCTCCCGATGGAGGGTCCTTGGAAGACGCTGTGCAGCTGATGAGAAACCGTGACGTCACAACGTACGTCATATCTATAGGCGATAGATCTGATGTTCCCGTCCAGAGACCAGAGGATCTGTTCTACTTGCCGTCATATAGTGATCTCCCGCGACAAGTGCAATCCATTGCAAAGAATATGACAAAACCAAGAGGTAATCAAGCGAGTAAGTCATGACGTTTTTATATCATCTATTAAGATAGTTTGATAACTGGTTGGCTAGCTATCCTTGTCGAGCCGTGAAAACATATGTAGCTACATTTAACTGCTGCTGCGCCTCGTGAGTCCACAACATTTTGACCACTGTGATGACTCGTATCGTTGTCGATAAGAGTACAGACCACGCTAAACCACATTTCGATTTGTTTTTTACCAGAATACCAACGTCAAAGAAAATGTTTTTTTTCAGTGCGCGAGCTGAAAAAGGCAATGCGTGACACATTGACGCGAGCAGCGTTGTCTGGACTCTTATCGACAACGGCAAATTTGCCAATCACATTGCGAGATTAGTAGCGGTTGTGGGAAAATAGTGATTTCCCCATGATTCGGCGCTGAGTGAATAAATTAAAATGTAATCATTTAGCATCAAACAAATGAAACACGTCAACTGTGAATGTGTGTTTTAGGCCTTCTCTCAGCCTCCCAAAATTTCGCAGATATCTTACTTTAATACTATATAGTCACTTGATAAATTTTTTTTTCCTTTCTATTAACATGAGTAATTAATCACGAGAAAATCCTATTCGTTATATTGGATTCAGTTTGTAATATTTGGTTTGAGGTAATAATTGTTCTTCCTTTGTAGCAGTGACAACACCAGCACCGACAACGCCATCGCCAACTGCTGCTACAGGTATTTATGAAGTTGTGCTCATCTGCCACTTATCTGCATTAAACTGATCCACGGTGACCGAGTAATCCACACTTTTCTTTATATTTTATTTCCAGATCCGTGCAAGACTGAGGGCTGCAATGCTCCTCACAATATCGGCTGCCGAGTAGTGAATAACACGGCACAATGTATTTGTCCTACTTGTCCCAACATATTAAGGCCGGTATGTACGTCTGATCATGTGCAGGATCTGAGCGAGTGTCATATGAAAAGACAAGCCTGTGAGTTGAATATCGATGTTGCTGTTGAAAAGCGAGGACCCTGCGGTACGTTAGGTTTTTTTGTACTTATTAGTTACATTATTTTTTGTTAATTTCGTTAAAAGTTGTTTCATATTGAAGAGATTAGTTACTCATTATCTGAAATAACGTATCGCACTGTCTGTCAATGATTCATAAATATTTTATCAGTGTATTTTGTAGTTTTCTTTTAAAAGTGGTCACAAGTGACGTAATTTTGTTCTCGTGTTTAGTTGTTTATTTTGCCGTTGCTGAAGTCAGATTGACGTTACTAATAGAACTGCTAGGAATTTGGTCAACTTCCGTACGCGATGCTGGTCTAGAATTAGTTGGTGGGGTTTCCAATGCTATCGATCGAGGTGGTGTCTTTAAACACCTTGTATAGGGAGGCAACAGGAAGGCAATACCCAAATCTCTCCATTTTAGTCCAAAATATTAGGGCGCAGCAATACTCGTAAGAACTCCTTATGTTTGCACTAAGCTTTTGCATATTTACTACTCCTTCTCATCAGATAAAGAATGTCGCAGCGTTGTGGACATCGCTTTTATTATTGATTCTTCTGGCAGTATTGGGAGAAGCAACTGGCAGCGAATGAAACGATTTCTTAAAGCACTGGTCAGCAAACTGGACGTTAGCGACTCTGGTACACATATAGCAGCCGTGGCGTACAGTGGCAATCCGGAAGTAGTGATGAGGTTCAGTAATTTTCAGGGTGTCGACCAGGTTAACCGATTGTTTGATGAAATGCGTTGGCAGCGTGGCTTTACCTACACAGACAAAGCACTTCTTCTTGCAGACAGAGACCTTTTCCAGACCACTAACGGGATGAGACCAGCCGTGCCGAAGGTAAGTCAGAGCCTCGTTAGTCTACATGATGTATCGTCCCCCCCTTCGCGCCCAACCCCGCCTGCCACCCAATATCTATTCACTCTTAGATGGAGAAAAGCACTTCAAAGTTAGAATGCAACAGAACTACTCTGGGAAGTCCCAATAAAATAACCATTAAACCACCATTAGGCCACTGCACTCTTTAAGTGGTTACTATATTAATGCCTGGCCACTTTTGATGGGCTCAAATACTATCAACAAATGTTCGCCAGCAGTGTTTTAAAATGTCACGAGCAGACAACTTCTTTGTGTCATTTTTAAGGACTTTAAGGTCGATCTACGGTTTTCGCACGTAAGTTTAAAACATGCCAAGTTGTCTTGAATTATACTTTTATCCTAGAAAACATCATTCATTGGAACTACAAATTCATTTCCATTCATTCAGTCATTCATTCATTCATTCATTCTTTCTTTCATTCATTCATTCATTCAGTCAGTCAGTCAGTCAGTCAGTCAAAACGCGAATCCTGCTTTTTTAAGCGGTTTTCGCCACATCTACCGCTCATTTGCCATTCGTGTCAAGCACTGCTGACAAAATCAAACCGTTATGTCGTTGATGAATTTTGGCAGTTGGCCTTTGTGATCACAGACGGGAAGCAAACCACAACAGGAAACTACACCAGACTTTCGGAAGCCTCCCAAGGAATTAAAAACAAGGGGATCACTGTGTATGTTCTTGGTGTTGGCAATGGAGTAGATCGAGCAGAGCTGGAGGAGATCGCATCCAGGTCAGACTACGTCAGTGTAACTCCATCATTTCAAGATCTCCTATCCATCTCTTCGGGGATAAGACAGCTATTTTGTGCCGGTGAGTGTTTGCATGCACGACATGAATACCCGGGGGAGATTCTTATACAAAAAGGAGAGCGGTGCTTGACGTGCAGTTTTGGTACCTCTTAGTGTGTTTAGTCTAAAAAGGTCCACAGCAGAAGTGTTTGCGGTACCTTTTAGGGTATTGAGCCGAAAATATGACAGGAGACAATGTGTTGTTTTAGAATTGGTACCTCTTAGGGGTGAAGAACATTTCATACCACGCCCACAAAACAGTATCTTGGTAGCTCTTAGGAGTTCTTTTCAAAATTTCCGACGAGCACCCCCGTCCTTTATATGTGGGAGATTTCCCGTGAATATTACTGCAGTCAACTAGTGGG